ATTGGGTGACTTTAGGCCAATCACCAGGAGACAGGGAGTTCTAGTCCCGCCTTAGGTATGAAAGCCGATTGGGTGACTTTAGGCCAATCACCAGGAGTCGGGGAGTTCTAGTCCTGCCTTAAGGCACAAAAGCTGATTGGGTGGCTTTGGGCCAATCACCAAGAGACGGGGAGTTCTAGTCCCTCCTTAGGCATGAAAGCCGGCTGGGTGACTTTGGGCCTATCACTAGGAGGCTGTGAGTTCTTGTCCTGCGTCAGGCACAAAAAAAAACCCAGCTGGGTGACTTCGGGCCAGTCCCTCCCTCTCAGCGCAGTCCACCTTGCAGGGTTATTTTTGCAGGGAATAATAGCAGGAGAAAGGAGAAGTGGCTATGTCTGCCACCTTGCGTTATTAATAAAAAAATAATCATAAAGGCGGGATAATAATAATAAGATCAAAGATCAAGGTTCCCCCTTGCACATGCGTGCTAGTCATTCCTGGCTCTAGGGGGCGCTGCTCATCTCTGTGACAAAGCCAAAGAAACGACACTGTCCGAAGACGTCTCCGTGGTCATGTGGCCGGCAGGACTAAACGCCGTTCCCTTCCCACCCAAGGGGTCCCTATTTTTCTACTTGCATTTTTTACGTACTTTTCGAACTGCTCGGTTGGCAGGAGCTGGGACAAGTGATGGGAGCTCCCTCCGTTATGCGGCGCTAGGGATTCGAACCTCTGAGCTGCCCACCTTTCTGAATCGACAAGCTCAGCGCCTCAGCCGCTGAATTGCTTCCCTTGGAAAATTGGGGCTAATCCTCCTCCTCCTTTTCCTCCCCCTCCTTCCCCCTCACCCCCCCAACCCCTCCCCTCAGGCAAAGGCTGCGCCTCCCTCCTCCGAGTGGAGCCCTTCATCTGCGCGCAGTGCCGCACGGATTTCACCCCACACTGGAAGCAGGAGAAGAACGGCAAAATCCTGTGCGAGCAGTGCATGACCTCCAACCAGAAGAAGGCGCTCAAGGCCGAGCACACCAACCGGCTGAAGAACGCCTTCGTCAAAGCCTTGCAGCAGGAACAGGCAGGTCGAGGGACTCCCGGTGCGGGTGTGGGGTGGGGTGGAGAGAGGCGCGAACGGGGATGCCCGACGTGGGGCTGCGGCTGTCAGGACTGCGACTGTCTCCCTCCCGTCTTCCCCAGGAGATCGAGCAGCGGCTGCAGCAGCAGGCCACCCTCTCGCCCACCACGGCTCCGGCCAGCGTGGCCAGCGTCAGCAAGCAGGAGAGCGTCATGAGGCATCACACACTCCGACAGGTGAGGCCCGGCCCCCTTGGCCCAGCGTGGTTCTGCCTGCCGCCAGTTCCCTGGCCCAGGTGCTCTTTCCGTTCGAAACGGTGTTCGGTTTAAGGGTTGCCCCCACAGCTACTCTTGGCTTCCCTGCTTTCCTTCCTTCTTTCCTTCTCCTTTCGTTCCTTCTCTCCCTCCCTCCTTTCCTTCCTTGCTTTTTCTTCTCTGCCTCCCTCCCTCCCTCCCTTCTTTCTTTCCTTCCTTCCCTCACTCCTATTTTCCTTCCTTCTTCTTTTCTCCCTCGCCTCCCGCCTACCTTCTTCTCTTTCTTTCCCTCCCTCCCTTTTCTTTTTTTCCTTTCCTTCTTTTTTCTTTTCCTTCTTTCTTTCCTTCTTTCTTTCTTTCTCTTTCTTTCTTTCTTTCTTTCTTTTTCTTTCTTTCTTCCTTTCCTTCTTTCTTTTCTTCCTTTCCTTTCCTTTCCTTCCTTCCTACTTTCTTTCTTTTCCTTCCTTCCTTCCTTCCTTCCTTCCTTCCCTCCCTCCTTTCCTTCCTTCCTTCCTTCCTTCCTTCCTTCCTTCCTTCCTTCCTTCCTTCCTTCCTTCCTTCCTTCCTTCCTTCCTTTCTTTCTTTCCCCATCTCCATCACGAACTCTGGGCAATTTAAATAACCCCAAACCATTTTAACACAACAAAAACAGCATTTTAAAGCACAACAAAGACATCCAACCTAACTATGACCTTTTCCTCCCTCCTTCATTCCTTCCCTCCAGGCCCCCCAGCCTCAAAGCTCCCTACAACGCAGTTTGCCCACGTCCGCTCGCTCCATGCTCTCCAACTTCGCACAGGCGCCGCAGCTCCCCGTCGCCAGCGGACTCCTCGGGATGCCAGGTAACTGGGACGAATTGGGGCTGGGTGGGAAGGTGGGTGGGAATTCAGCCACAGAGCCAGGACCCCCCCCCTCTCTCTCTGCTGCGACAGCCTAGGGGGGGCGCTTCGGGTTAGAGTCGGGGCTCAGGACATAGGGGTTGTCAAAGAACAGTCCACGCTCCAGACTGTTTCCTGACTTTTGTTGCGTGGTTATTTCAAACACCAGACTGGGAACGTCCCAAATTCAGGAAGGCCTGGAGAAATTCTTGCTCCTTTTTATGTCCACGAGAAGCTCGCTGACGCTTCTCCCATAAATCAGGGGTTTTTGAAACGAAAGTCTAAACTGTTTGTAAACAATTAAATTTCACTCATACAAAGCTCTTAATTTTTGATCTCTAGAGGGAATTTTTTTAAAAAAAACTTCACAGATTCCTCCCCTAGAAATCTTTGGGAACCATAAATCTGGTCGTTCGATTGTGGTTGGGATATCCTGCCCCACTTCTTCCATGGGGCTTTTTTCCTCCTTGTCCCTGTCAGGATTCTGGCATTTACCCTCACGAGTCTCAAGCCAAACTTCCAAAACTTCAAAAGGATTTATTGGGAGTTAACATGTCCGGCACTGTCTGGGTGTAGCTGACTCCAAGGCACATCATTCATCGTCACCCTTGACCCTGGTTTTTCCCCCACCTCCTGGGTGTATCCTAATTCATATTCTCCAATGGGACACATCCCTAGCCCAGAGTCATCAATGTTCTCCAATTAGATATTTGCGCGCAGAAACTTCAGTCCCCTAGTTACTATCTTTGAAAAACTATGAATGGAATGCACTTTCGATTTCCAAGCTGCCGCACTGCTCTTTCAAACCCCTTTCCCCCTAAATATTTGAGGGCCAGGAAGGCACAGGCGACATCCACACCTCTTAACTCGAACCCGAGCTTCAGGGGCAGGCTAGCCCTCCCATTCCTGACTCTTCCGCCCTCCCAGAGCAGAGTCTCTGCTCGATTTACAGAGCGCTTGTCTTGCCTTAACCGCCATATTTTCCCGGGTCTCCCTTGTTTTTTTCTCCCGCTGCCAAGAATGACGAACTCTGTCAAGAGTTTGCAGCATAAATTCACGTCCAGAAAACACACAGACTTGATCCATCAGGATCGTTAAACTTCTTTATAAACATATTAATACGAGTAAAGCGTACAATACCATTTGTAGATTCTTTCAACATAACATAAGCAAAAACAGCAGCAGCAGCGGCAGCTCCGTTTCAGCAAGCAAGCAAGTTAGTTTCTCTTTCACTTTAGTGCTGAGCACAGAACAGAGATAAACCAGGCCTAGGTTCTGTCTTTAAGTGTCACCCCACAATTCAGTGGGTGTCACCCCTTGTTGTTAAGCTTTATTCCAGTTCATGAATATACTCTGACAAACTCTTTTTTTTAATATACAGTATAATACATTTTTTTATTCTTCAGTTTCAAAAGTACATTTCATTTTTTTCTCAAGCAGTGTGTCGTCTGGGCACCAACATCTCTGTGCCAACTTCTTCACCATTTATAACACCATTCGCATTAATATTATTTCTCTAAGCTTAGAATTAAGATACATCAAACTACTAATCATTATACAGCTCTTCGGGGGATATCTCATTAGCATTGCATCTCATTGTTCTCATCATATATATATATATATTGACAGTTATTTATATCTCTTACTTTATTTTCTATTCTCTTTGATTCTCTCTCGTTTCCAAATTCCTTTTTTATTCTCTAACCATGGATAAAATATTTTCCATATCCTATAATATACTCAGTTTGCTCTTTCTCCTTGGTTGCTACTGTTAAATCTGTTGGTTTCTGCGCAGTCGAATGTTTTCCTGATCATCTCCTTGTCAGTGGAGATATCCTCACCTTTCCGATGTTGCGCAAATACCGTTCTAGCTGCAGTGGATACATGAATAATTAGACAGACATTCTCCTTACTGTAGATTTCAGGTAAAATCCCTAGCAGAAATATTTCTGGTTTTAGCTCAATATGTATTGAGAAGGACGAACTCTTGAGATGGTTAGATATCTTTTCAGGTGAAGAAGCTCACCTGGGAAATTTCCAAAACCAAAAAAAAAGGACTTAACTTTTTTTCCCTCCCTCTCTTTCTCTCCCTCTCCCTCTCTCTCTCTCTCTCTGTCTTTCTGTCTCTTTCTGTGTGTGTCTTTCTGTCTTTCTCTCTGTTGTCTGTCTCTGTTTTTCTCTCTGTTTGTGTCTTTCTCTCTTTCTCTGTGTGTGTGTGTGTTTTTATCTCTCTCTGTCTTTCTCGATCTGTCTCTGTCTTTCTGGGTCTTTCCGTCTTTATCTCTCTGTCTTTCTGTCTTTCTCTGTGTGTGTCCGTCTCTGTCTTTCTCTCTCTCTCTCTCTGTGTCTTTGTCTCTCTCTCTGTCTTTCTCTCTGTGTCTCTATCTTTCTGTGTCTTTCTCTATCTCTCTGTCTGTCTGTGTCTCTCTGTCTCTGTCTCTTTTTCTCCAGGAGTCAACATCGCCTACCTGAACGCCGGGATGGGCGGCCACAAAGGGTCCAGCTTGGCGGACCGGCAGCGGGAATATCTACTCGATATGATCCCTCCGCGCTCGATATCGCAATCCATCAGCGGGCAAAAATAACACCAGCCCTGCACCTGCCCCCCCTCCTCCTCCCCCCCCCCATGATTCCCCCATCTGAGCCCCCCGCCCCTCATCCATCGCATGCAGTGCCTGTACTGGTGCCTACCACGGAGGGATAGGAAAAAAACCCCTCCCCCAGAAAACAGTGGCGGGGGGGGGGGAAAGGAAGAAAAAAAAAGACGAGAATGAAGACGAGAAACTTTCGCGGGATCCCCCCTACCCCACCGGCCCTTTTCGCAACCGTCTCGCTGGCACCCCTCTTCCCCACGCCGCCCGCTCTGGATTTTGTTTTGGGCCGGCGGGAAGCACCCCAAGCCCTTCCTGTTTCCACCCTCCCCCTCCCCCCCCGTCCCACCCAAAGTCAGAATCAGCTCGGACAACCCTCGCACCGCGCCCGTGTGTGTTTTCACACTCCCTTTTTATGCGCTTATCTCTTCCTTCCCCTTTTTCTTCGACTGTAACGGCAACCTTGTAGAACTTTTTAATAACCGCTTTTTTTTTTTTCTCGTTTTTGTTTTCATTTTTTTATTGCCTTTTGCTCTTTTTTTAAAAATTCCACGGGAGGGAGAAAAGGAGACCACCTGGAGAGAACAGAGTCCCGGAAGGGCCTTTTTTCCATCCTGGCTTAAAAACGAGGGATCAAGTCAACGGGGGGCGGGGGGATTTATAATGGTTACCCCTTTTCCGAAGCCAAACCCTGATGGGGGCGGGGGGTCCAAACATCCACGAGACGGCTGCTTTCGGAGGTGGGAAGACCACCAAGCATAGAAAGCAAAGGGGTGTTGTTGGGGGGGTGGTTTTTTTGGGGGGGGGGGCGGGTTGAATCGTCCATGCTAGGAAAAGGAAACTTCTGCCTGCCAGAGATTGGTCGGACTCTCTCCTCCAGCGACGTCCCACATCAGTCTGAGCGACGTGAAAGAGAATCGAGTCTCCCTTCCGCGGATCCTGCCGGCCGTTGGCCATCCGAAGGAGCTCCCGGCCAGGCGAGGGACCCGGGATCCTCGCGTCCCTTCCCGTTCCGTCATCCCTCCGACGCCAGAAGCAAGGAGTCCCTTCCCGCTCACCGTTCGCTACACCCCGTCGTCTTCGCTTGGGTTTTTTTTTTCCCGCTTCTTCTCGATATCCACCCGCTCTTTTCCACGCGGAGATCCGAACCGCCCCACTCTCGTTCTTGGGGGCCCCCAACTTTCCCCCCCCCCTTTGCTCCCCAAGTATTAGCCCTTGGGGTTCTTCGGGTCAACCCTTGGGTCCATCGATCCCTCTGAAAAAGCCGGCAGCTGCTGGGATGGTCTCTCTCTCTCTCTCTCTTTTTCTCTCTCTCTCTCTCGCCATCCGTTTCGCCTCCTCCAAACCTCCGAGCACTTAACGAATCCACGGAAGGCGGCAGAGGAACCCCGGCGCGGATGCACCCGAAGAGACCCCGAGACCCAGGATTTGTTTTGAGTGTGTGTCCCCCCCCACCCCACCCCCAGCGCCCTTCAAAACCCCCCGGGATGAGTCTGCGGGGGAGGGAACCAGGCACGTTCCGCCACCTGAACCTTGGACAGCCCGACACGCCCGCCGGCCCCGCCTCCCCAGCCCCCCAAAATGTGCAATTCTCTGCAAAGCCAGCTTTCGCGACGCGGCAGCCTTAGAGGCCTCTGGCGATGGTTTTGTTTTGTATTTTATTTTATTCTCTTGCTCTTTCGAATGTGGGGTTTTAAGCCCTCCCCTCCCCCCCCCCCCCCCCCCCTCCCTCCCCAACTCGCCCTAGGCGCCCCATCCTTAAGACCCCCCCTTCCCTCGGCTCTCCCTGTTGTGGCTCAGACTATGTGGGTCACGTAGGCTTAAGATTTTGAGTTTCAGTTTGGTTTGGATATTGTGCTGATTTTCCTTCCTTCCTTCCTTCCTTCCTTCCTTCCTTCCTTCCTTCCTTCCCCTGTCTATTCCTTTCTTTCATTTCCTTCCTTC